CTAAACCCTAAACCCCTAAAACCCTAAACCCTAAATTACAACGAATTTTCAGTTTCGCAAACGGAAAAATCTAAGTTACGATCAACGTAAACTTCTTACAGATATCCGTAAAATAGATCTTTTAAATTCATGGCTACAGATAAAAACCTTGGTCCTGCTGTCATGCAAAATTGAACAATATATACGATGGTGCCTTACCCATCTAAAATCAAATGATGTCTATTCTTATACTACATCATTGCCGATATGCGGATTTCGTAGAATGGCAATAAATTGGCATTCTCGAGCAGCTAAATTATTCCCAGAGTTAATTCGTGATCTTAAAACTTTCACGTATAATCTGGAATCAACTGTGTCCGCTAGATTTTATGGCATGCCTAAAATTCATAAATCTCCAATGGGCCTCCGTCCTATCGTTTCCTCTATGAATTCGCCCTTTCACGAGTTTTCTAGATGGTGAGATTTTATGCTTCGACCATTTCTTAAAGGCTGTAAGCACATTCTGACTAGTTCTAAAGGTTTAATCAGTCAACTTAATTCTGTAGCTCTACCAGCCGGGTGTTTTTTTTGGTATCTTGGGATCCTCAAGCACTTTATACATCCTTACCAAGTGACACATGTTTATTAGCCATTTCCTGGTGGGTACGCGATAATAACTACCGATATATTATTCTCGATGGGTTAAAACTCCTCATGACACATAACTGGTTTGAATTTGGTGATTCATTTTGGTGCCAAACTCACGGTGCAGCGAGGGGGGGCCCTGTCGCTCCACCCTATGCAAACCTTTTTTAGCATATTATAAAATTAACGTAATATTTCCAATGTTTAAATCCGACTTAGTATTCTACACTCGGTAATTGACGATGTTTTTCATATATTCATCTAAGCCTTGGTATTTTCGTCGCTTTGCTGCGATGATGTATCGTACATTTCCCGGGGTCTCCTGGTCACCGACTAGCCGTATTCATGATATTGATATGACTACGCTGCCATTTACGTTTGATTTTCTAGATCTCACTCTCACAGATAACATCATTCAAACTCGAACATTTTCAAAAATCTTAAATTTATACTTATATCCCACACCGTCCAGCGCTCACCCGCCTGGGACTTTCTCGGGACTTATTACAGGTTTATTTAAGACTTATTAAAATCAAAATTCATGCCGCGATGACTTCTTACACATCATAAGATTATTGTATGCACGTCTACGCGTTCGTGGATTTTCAGCTCAGTTTCTTAAATTCACTTTGAAAACGCCTATGCTAAATGTAAATATTCGCATTCAGTTTCAAATATTAACAAGAAAATTTTACCGTTTGATGTTACTTATAATCCTAACGGTCCTCGAAGTTTAATACTAAAAATTTCTTTAAATTTTCGTCAGTTACGCCTGTTAACTTTACAAAAAAAATTAGGTCGGTTACTTATCTGTTATAAACGACCACCTAATCTTGGCAATATGCTTATACGAGCCAAAATTTCAAACGCTTTAAGCCCAACGCCAAGGAACTTTTTCATAAAGTGTGGGACTTTATAACGCATTTTCATTTGATTGTTTATCGTTATTATGATTATTTCAACAGCGCCAAGCGCTCTACCCTCGCAAGAAGTGACACATTCGATTGCTCGACGGCTAGGAGCCGCTCCGACAGAGCGCGATAACCCCGAAATGAGGCAGCTGGTGCACAACGTCTTTATGCCTCTTGTGCCGCGGTATGCAATCCCAGCATGATGCTCAGCGGGGCCCCGTTGCGACAGACCTCGTCCTCAAGAG